GCAGACTAAGATTAACCACCAAATACCATTGCTACCCTCAATGGACTAAAAATTTTTGCCGGACTCAACAAAACCCTCTTCAGAATTTCATCTCTTTGTATAAGAAGCTTCACTATCTACCTACCTACCTACCAAACTATCTATTTTTTCTTAATTTCATCTCCTTGTATAGGAAGCTTTACTATCTACCTACCTAATTATCTACCTATATCTACCTACCTACCTACCTACCAAACTATCTATTTTTTCTATCAAATAATTACCATCATCTACTTGTCAACCATCAATTAATGCCAATTTGTCAAATAAATCTTTGCCTCAGTGAAAAATAAAGGAAAAAGGAAGAATCTTGCCAAGATAAAAGCTAAAATGAAGGCAAGCAGAACACAGAATTCAAAAAGTAATTCTAACAAAAAATCTATGAATGAGACAGGTGAAAATAACACAAATACGAGCAGTGGTTCCAAACTAGGGGCCATGTAGCAGAATGTAGGAGCCCATAATCTGAGATGTGTTTATATAAAACCAAAGGAGTTGAACAGATGGATAGTCTGTGGAGGGAACTTACAGGTTCTGTACAGGTTTGTGCAATGCCTTGCTGCCAGACACTAGTAATACATCCTTTTTTCGGCCTATGTAATTACCTTTTTTATCTGATTATGTGTTCTTGACATAAAACATGACATTATGATGTATTTGGGTAGTAAATGATTTAATCATCTAGGGATTTCGAAGCTTTTTTATTTTGTTTTTTGTTTGTTTATTGTTGAAACAATAATTTTTTGTCTGGACATTTTTTTATGTACATTATGTTACATCTTTAATACCATTTCAGTAACTATATATTAAGCAAACATAACCTACAAATTTCTTGATCAGTACTTTAAAAAAGGAAAAATAACAAATGGAATCAATAAAATTACTGGATTTACTAGAGTGGTTTTATATGGACCAAATGAGGGTAGGACTGTAGACAGTGTAGTTATGGGTTATGCTTGGCAGTGGGCCATGGACAAGGATCTTGTTTGAAAAGTGGTTAACAACCAAAAAAAAGTTTGATAACCACAGGCCTCGAGTAAATGCAGTACCCTCATCCTTATTAAGAAAAATAACTTGTATATAGACTAACAATAAAAAATTATACCCAACATACACAACTTGAGCTTCACAAACTGATAAAGAAATAAACTGGGAGTTATCAATGGGAAATTTAAAGATTAATGGATAAATATTAAGAAAACATCCACAGATCTGCCACAGCCTTGCCCCAATCAGTGCAGAGTTTGTGCAGGTTATTAAAGCCAACAAACGTCAACCACACATGATTTGGCAAGGCAGATCCTGTAAACCTTCCTAACAATTTACCATTTACCTTTAATGGAACATGAAGAACATAGACTAATATTATCTTCCTTTCAATTTTTATAGGCAATCTTCCTTTCAATTCTTAACTGGTAACCTGTGAACAGTTGATACGCTCTATGGAGTAATAATGGTACATAATAACAAATATATATTCACTCTATTCACTCTCTCCTTCTTGAAACACTTCAGTAACAGAATCAGCCTGCTATGAGTTACCTACCTCCTGTTTTGCATCTGGACTGTAGTAAACCAGAATAAGTGAGGTGAAGATGTTGATAGCAAGACCCGTAATGGTGATCAGATTGGGTGCTAGGGTCAAGGGGCACTGTTCCACTAGCCAACACCACCACTTCTGCATCAAAGGGTCCATCAATGACACCGACATGCAGGAGTACTTGTGTTCCTCAAGCCTCCGTAACTGAGAATCGTCTAACTGCCTCATGGTGGACCTTCACTTCCTCTCTTTCCACGCAAAAAAAAAAAAAAAATACTTTCTCTTTCTAGGTACTTAGTTCTGTGGTCTGCAGTCACTCACTTTGTTGTTTTTTTCAGCAACTTTGACACCAAATAAGAAATGGATAAAAGAAAAAGAAAAAAGTAAAAAAAAAAAAAATCAAAGAAACATACAAAATTTTCTACTGAATTTGTTTCTTCATTTCACTCACGCTCAGTTCACCGCATTGAAGTTTACGATGAATATCTAATTTTCAAGAACACACTTTCTTTCTGAAACATAATTCTTTTTCTCTCTTTATTTTTCATCGACTTTAAACACTATCAAGAATGTCTAATTTTTCAAACCAGAACACGAAGTAAGAGAGAATGATGAATGAACTGAATCCCTCAAAATCAAATCATTCTATTTTTACTATCTAAATGTCTTTACATTTTCATCATTCACATTTTAAATGGAAATGCAGAAACCTGTATCTGAAATGAAAGAAAATTAATAATGATATATATAATTCTATGAATTATATCTGCCACACTATTCTACAACTAATATTGATTGTAAGTAAAATATAACTACAAAAAATGACAACTAAATTAGCCGTAACTCAACCATGACTTCATCAAGCAGTAAAAACAGTCTGAACTCCACCTTGCTATTAGATCATCTGTAGCTTATGAAATG